ATTGCAATAAAACGGCAATTTCATACTTTAACCCCTAATATTATCAGCAGTTCCAAATGTGAATGATTTTTGCGTCATTTCGATATGTCTATAGTCAATACCGCAGTAATCACTGAACTCGAATGGCGATTCTCGCACTCAAAACGATTCGAACCGATTTGTACGATAATCGTATGAACTTGAAAAAATGTCATACGAGATCGTGTTTAGATAAGTCGAAAACTCGTAAGCAAGAATCTCCTTACTACATATTTCTCTGTGTAAACAGTCGAGGAGGCGATTAAGTTGCTTACGAATCTCGTATGACATAATCGTAGGCGAGTTTTAGTTCTTCCCTGAATGTAAACATTATGATACGATAATCTTATGGCGATTATTGCTTACGATAATCGCCTTTTTTTTTTTGACGGGGGGGAAATCTTTATGGATACCCCTAAGCCCAGGGAGATTCAGGGGTTATGTGGGGACTCTCCCTCCACACTGGAAGGCCTACCCCACTAAAACCCCCCCGGGTTTCGCTCTCGCCGGTTGAGTCGGCGCCGTGGGATCAGTGAACATTCACCACGACGCCGCCCGGCCGCCCTAGCTTGCGCCAGGGCTCCCGCGTTAACGGAGGGACGAGTCGGTTGTTCTCCGACCCACCCCCCAGACGAGTGAGGCCGTGCAATGCAGGCTCCGGAGTCCCTGTCCAGAGCCCGCTGGTCTCACTAGGGGATCAGGCGAGCAGCAAACCGCCTTCGCCTTCTCCCCGTACGTCTGCGCCGGAGCGGGTGCGCGTCCGCCGCGTCCTCGCGCACCCGCTCCGCGGCCTCCTTTTGCGACATAACCTCTGTGCAAAAGAAGGCCACCGCCTCCCAGGACTCCTCGCTATCGAGCATGGCGGCAACCACGCTCGGCAACGAGAGGTCCTACCCTATTACGATAATCGCCTACGAGTTTTCGTCACGAAGCGTGCGAGAAACTCTTACCATCTAAATGGGCCTTAACATTAACCATAGTGTTACCAAATGCGCAACAAAATAATTAAGTTAATTACTTAATATTGTAAGGCAAAGAGAATTTTTTTTTTCAAAGTTTGATTAATGTTGAATCTCATTAAAATAAATAAACGATTTAAGGTCATCTAATTTTATAATTTGCTTAACATTTTACATTCTGTTTACATTCACAGCAAACGTAATAGATGGTTACATTTTGAGTTTCTTAATTCTTTATTATAATTATTTTAAGCTATGTATTTGTAATAAATAACGAAAACTCGAAACGTAGGAAATACGAACTTTGTTCTCCCCAAATTTGGGGATTTTAACCGTGATATTTGAGGATTTTGAACAATTGGCATTGCTTGGCAACTCTGGTAGTACGGCACAAAAAGCGCTGAGCCTTAACAGTGCCCTAAAGACATTATTTTATTGGATCCGCAAGGAATTGAAGTATCTCAGCTTAAAATTAACCCACAGGTTGCTAGTATAAAACCTTGGGCAGTATGCGCGGAATAAAGTTAACTTGACTCCAACACTGCATCGAGCAAACCTGTGCGCCAACATACCGATTTATAACCTTAAGGGTTATTTTTGTGTGCAGGCAACAGCAAGCAGTCGCTGTCACCATCAGCTTATTGATCTTGTAAATCAATGGCTATTGAGGGGTTTTACAAAAAAAGGCTCAATCAAATTAGGGGCGGGACTAGCTACAATCACCGCTTCCAAACAAAACTGTTTTGGAATTGGTACACAACTTTGCTGACAGTATTGTAATGGCAAGTTTAGCTGTCAATAACTATATTTTGTGTATGGCAACACTTTTTTCGTGGACTGTCCAAAAAATGGTAAACGTCATGCTCGCCATTACAATTTTCCTCTTAAAATACTATTAGGCTACTGTAATTAATAGTTGTAGAAAGCCAAAAAGAGCCTTTTAATTAGAATTATATTCCATAACATTCGATGAAAATTAAACAAAAACCCCCAACAAGTACATTGGTTGTAGATGCTTGGGCAGGTATTGCACCGTTCCACTAGGTTTTTTATAGAGGCATATGATCGGTGGTGGACTATGATACGCTGTACATACCATCATCTTTGAATGCGTGCCTTCCTGCCTCGGCCCAGAACATAAGTTGCTGCACTGCATGCGATATTTTGAGTCTCTCAGTGAAATCGTAGCCATCTGTAGTATTTAACAAATGCGAGATTCCCATCTGAAATAACGTGAATTTCCTGAAATTTACATGTCACCATTGCAACTGCCTTTTGCCACGGGAAATATAAAATAATGCGTACTTGTAATAACATGTAGTATGTTACGAAACTTCATTTTCATCTACGTAAGTAGATAAGCCCTCTTTACCGTATTAGAACTGTGGCTTATCAAATTTTTCGTAATAACAAGATATCGTACCCTTTGTAATTGTGCGTCGAAAGTGCTTTTATTCTATGAAAGTCATAAAAATAATACGAACTACATGAATCAAATTACATATAAATTTGATAAGTCTCCTATTTAGACTCAATTTATATTGTGGCGGAACGGAATGGAAACGTATTTTTATAACTAAATTGTAATATACAAACTAGATACGAACCAATAAACAAGTCGCACGGCTTCCGGCGAATTCACGCGCATGTTCGGGAATGCACGCGCATTCGCGGGAATTTCCGCAGCGGCCTAGACGACGCCTGGCGAATTCGCGGCTAGAGGCACAAAGGCAGGGCAGTGTGACATCAAACGTCAAAGCGTTCCCGAGAATGCTCGAGCATTCCAACGACCGCGCACGATTTCTTGCGCGACGAGGCAAAATTGACGCTTCCGTTCCATTCCATTCTGAGGCAACATAAATTCAACCTTAAGCATAAAAAAGTTGTCGACTTATTTCGTTCGTAGAATCTTTAAACCTCTATATACAAAAGTTGTCATTTTGCAGATGTCACCTTATTACACCAAGGGGTTGCGACAACATCAGGTAACAAGAAGTGTAATCTTGAACATATTAAATATCTTATCGATATTTCTAGATAAAACTCTACATAGTCAGCGAGTTGTATAGTTGATTGTACAAACTGGCTTGGTTATTAATACCGTACATACGAATATTACACATGCAAAAAAGAGCACATAGAGCATTTGACTTTCTTAATACCTACAACGATTTAAAAATAGGAAAAAAAAACAACGCAAAGCAAACGAAAACGGGCGGGAAGGCAGAAGACACTAAAGTTAACAATGTATATTATATGCTATGGAAATTGAAATAAGATATAAATTTCAGTGCTCTGAAACCGACCTCGGAGTATTACAGCACATTTCTCTCAGCAATATTGAAGAGCAAGCTAGAGGATACCGCGGCGGGAGGTACCGGTAAGTGATGAAATCTACTAGTATGCACCGGAGTCTGCCTGAATGCACAGGGGAGTTTTCAGTTTTTGACAACGGACTCTACTGTACGCTGGTGATACTTATTGTAAAGGATATAACCTCGTCAGTGTGTGTTGGCGGGCATAAGATCCTCTTAGTTGCTCTCCCCGACGTTTGCACCGGTCCTTAGGGTTTGTGCCGTGCCCATATCAGACTCAAAGTCACGAGCACGTCAAACTTAACTTAAGATTTAAATTCAGTTGTATGCCATTTGCGATAAGAATGGTGAAAAACATTAAACTTGATGTGCCCGTGACTACAAAAAAATAAAACTTCTTAAAACTGTAAAAATTTTAAGAACATACTATACCTATTCTGAGTTTATGAGTTTAGCTAAATTTAAAATTAGTAACGTAACTAAATCCAATCATAATTACCCACTAACACGCTTTGCTAAACTTTTCAGTGAATATTAACACAGCAAGGTGAATTACCCTTCACATTGTTAAAAGTATACCTAAAACAATGAAAACTTGTAGTAAAACCTGCATAAACAATGTGTTTTGCTTTTTATCTTTTATACTGGTTCACATGCCAGTGCCATTTGCTTTAGATGCCAGTCATGCCACAGGTTATTTTTCGTGTGCTTTAAAATGCATTTCAACCCATTCATGGACAGTAACAGCGTGTATCGTAAAATATAATAATACATAGAATATAATTTTAAAAATCAAGTACGGATTTTACAGTTCAATTTCCAAGTGCTTTCTGTGTAGTTGCCGCTTACTGCTTTTCCAGAGCGAAGCATCAACAACGTGCTGACAAAATTCGATGATTTATATACATTAAACATTTTATATTGAATTTTTTTAAATATATTTATGTTGAAGATTATGATTTTTTTATGATTTTTTATTTGACTATCCATGAAACTGTTAAGCTACTGTAAATTTTTGAGATAAAATTACCAATTCATTCTGTAATGACAAATTTTGTTTTCAACAGTACGATCTTTTAGTAGACTCTATAAAAAAATATCGTTGGCACTTGGGTTCGTGCGTATAGGGGAACGGGAACATACGGTATGGACACATAACTTACAGCTTCTAGTTTGTTCTGCAGCAATAAGGTCATTCGAAGAGTGTAGATAGGCAACTTTACGCCTATTCTCTTAGGGCGCATTTTATTTATCACATAATGAATGCTCGTATTCGCCAATTGAGCTACCAATGGTTGCAGGAAGGGTCGCCGCGGAGCCACTATCAGAAAACTTAGATGAGGTGTGGAGTAGAATATTTCAAGTGCCTGAAAAGTTCACAAGTTTTGTATGCACACATTAACTATGTTTAGTTTCCGATCATTACAGAACCTTTGGATATATTGTCAACAGCCTATACATATAACCAGTAAACAGTAATTAACGTAAACAGTCCATGGTAACAAAAATTGCCAGAGATTGCTACGCTCTAGCTCTCAAACGCACACTCAAATATTCATACCTTTATTTCATAGGTAAACAAATTACACATTGAAATCGTCACATTAATTAAAGTAACTCACGCGTATGGCAGATTCCCCTGAGAAGAATGAGTTTGAAGTGCCTACAGATTTACTCGATTTTTGACGATATCATTCAATGCCGACGCTACCATTAGTTCGTTCAGGGAAGTACCGCTACCATACATATTTCTGTCGCCAAGCCACAATGTGAGTATTATTGCGTTCTAGTGTTAAAGGGTGCTGGAGAAATTACAGGCACATAGGACTTGCCAACTTATATCACAGGGTGACGGGCGCAGTGGCAGTACCCCTCGGATCTTTGCGATTTAAAGCTCAGAGAGGCACTGCAACTGTTATGTGCGTGTCGCCTACCAGCAGGCGCACGACTTGTTCGTCCCGTTACTTGGCATCATAAGAAAAGTTCTATTTCTAATCAAGAATGACACAATAGAGTTCAAGTAAAAATTATAATAAAAACCTGAGCATCCCATTCTTTCAAGTCGGCATATCTCATAATATCGTTAATACGAATCATATGAGTCTCTCGTATCTTATTGGCATCTGCTTCATCTCGCGAATTAGGATCTACACCATCGTAGAACGCATGCGTGCCATTTAGCAGGGTGGGAGCGGTGCGCCAGCGCGCGCGCAAGTACACCGTACTTAGTAGAGCTGCATGTACTCCTTCTAAAAGTTCATCTTCTGTGAATGCGCAATGCATTGCGCCTCCTGAGTCTTCTTCTACCTGTGAGAAATCCCATATACGGTTACACTATATATGTCATCGCGCCTCGCGTACCGACGATGGAGTCGAAGGAGGCTAGTACAATATGTATAGGTATTATTTTATAAAATTTAATAGATGAGTGTTTGAAATAAAAACTTTAAAAAAACATGGTTTTTTAGAAGTATCAAACCCATAGCCGGATTCAAAGACCGGCGGGCTTATTTTATAGATAAAAATAGAAGAAATTAAATAATATTTTTACGTATTTATTTTAAAGGGCTGACTAATGCAATAGTGTAGCCAAAATTATTAAATGTTCAATATTACACACAACATTACATTTATTGCACTTTTTCATTATAAGAGTGATTTTCCCAGCTGTGATTTTTGCGCGGCGTGGTCGTAAGTCTTATGTCCACTTGCACTAAACCTAGGTACGTCTTAAACCAATAATTGCAATGCAAAATCTATCAATTTAAGCATTGGTTTAAGACATACTTAAGTTTGGTGCAAGTGGACATTAGTGTATGTTGCCAAAATAGATATGTAATATTTTTTGTAGGTAAGTATACCTAAATCTTCACCTGGACCCACTAAAGAAAAATTCCTACGTCGACGTTTTAGTACATTTATAATTTTTTTAGTCCTGATTTCTGATTTTGGTGACGCGTTCACAACCTGAGTCTCAAGGTCGTATTCTAGAACTCTACTCAATGCTCAAAATTTTAGTCAGGACTTGAGTATGATTCAAAGCACTAGAAATCATACTCAAGACCTTGCCATTAGGGTCGTATTTCCAGTGCTTGAAATCATACTCAAGTCTGCTCAAATCCAGACTTGAGCATTGAGTAGAGTTCTGGAATACGACCCTCAAACTTGTTTTCATGATTGAAAAAAAATCAAACCATATTTTGAAATAATATTAATACACCCGCAATCTCAGTGAATATTACTGCTTGTAATTTAAAAATTGATTAATTAAACAGGCTAATATAAAGTAATATCGTACCAAGAATATTCGTCCGCGCGAGGAGCCTAATTTTGGTGAACAATTTTAAATGCTCACTAGCAAATACTATAAGCTTTTAAGAACTTTCCAATTGCTACCACTCGCCCCCTCCAGGGTCGCGCTAATGCGCAGTGTGGTCGGTTGTGTTTAGATCGTGCTGCTTTTCCCGCCAAAAAGGTATTAGTATTAATACTTGGTGACATGGGGGCTAAAACTGAGCAATTTTTGTGATCATGTTATCGAGGGTACAATTAAGGTTTCAAATAATGCTGTGTGAATTTTCAATGTCAATTTTGAATACCTTTAATGTGCTACAGTTAATGTTGCCTTAACTTTAATAGTAAGTAAGTTTTCTCAATAACTTTTGGCTCATTTTCCAATTTTGGTGACACGATTTTGGTGTTTTATCTGTGTTCACCAAAATTATGTCTTATCACCAAAATTAGAAAATAAGTAGCTTTTTCTGTCATTATAACACTGTTGTTTGTTGGTTACAAATAAAAAATGTTGCAAAATAAATAACTTTAATTTGTAATTAAATTTATAAAGTTATAATCATGCATTATAATTAATCTTTTTTTACTAAAAAAGTGTGCATTTGACCGCCATCTCACCTGGTGGGCAGTGCCGACGAGGTCGACGATGGAGCATGCACATCTAAATAAAGCCTATTCACTTTCGCCTTGAAAAGGCCCAAGTCATAGCATTCAGGGAATAAGTCTGCAAGCAGGGAGTTACTCTCCACAGCCGTTCGCCATATAAAATGCTTGGTGCGAATCTTTGGAATATCCACAACATAGTCCCTCCGTGATATATTCTGTAGAATACCAAAAAGCAGGCAACTTTACGCCGGTGTTCAAGGCTCTGCAGCTTCGCTTTAATGTCGAGTTACCTGTAAGCCTCTTGCCACGCTTGTCGATTGAATCCAAGGTGGCCGTAGATTGAATCCAACTTGGTATGTGGCAGAGCTATCCCATAGGTGGCAGCAGTTCTCCATACATGACCGGACTTGTGCTTGTGCTGAAGCTACTGTCCCGGTGAAAAGTAACGCCTTACCCTTGAAAGGATGCCAAGTTTCCTGGATGCATTTTTAGCCAAATATCAGATCCCCCGTAGATCGCCCTCGCCGGAATCAGTATTGGCGATCAATAAGGAGGTTATTGTCTTCAAGGTACAGCAGGAGACGGTTGTTGAGTACATGTTCCATAGTCTTGCAGAGTATGGAAGTGACTGATATAGGTCTATAGTTGACAGGGTCAGCTCTGCTTCCTTTTTTTCGGAACACGACCTGGGAACTACACTAGTCTCTGGTAAGAAGCGTAAATTAGAAGAGTACAGAATACAGGCGTGTGAGAACAGGAGACAATTCAGGCACACAATCACGTAGGACTATTGCTGGAATTCCATCTGGTCCGCTAGTTTTATTCACGTCTAAACTCCGCAGAGATCTAAGTACCTCTTTTTAGCTTACGGGGCATTCCCTGTGGCATCTAGACGCGATCTCTCTGCAAAGAGTGAGGCAAAAAGATTTGCGAACTCTTCCGCAGTATAGGCCAGCGAACCGTCCGGCCTCAGCAGAGGTGGTAAAGATGGGCGACAAAAGTTACTTTCGACCGCTTTACGAGGGACCAAAAGGATTTGCTACCTGCTGGATAAGAAGCAAGCTTGGCTCCTATGCAGCGTACATGGTGAACTATTTGGCTCTATGTAACAAACACGTTTTTGCACTTCTTGGCGGCCTTATTAAAAGATTTCTTCAGATTCCGAGTACTCGGAGTTTTGCGTAGTCGCGCGTCTGCCTAAGCTTGGTACGCGGACTGTTTTTGTGCTTCAGCATGGCTACAGTCAGCGCTAAACCATGGACGAGTTTGGGGACCATTGGGTAAATCAGAGTATGATATGTAATAATATTCCATGCCCAAACGCAAGACTTCGACTACAGCATCAGCACAGCTCGACGAGTCTCCTGAAGAAAAGCAAGTCTTTCAGGGATATGAAGCAAAGAAATGGCGCATTTCGTCCCAAACTGCTAACCTGTACCACCACACCCCTCTCATATCACTAAGGTTCTGATCGAGTGGGGAGTATACAGTTTTCACCAGACAAATTTCGGGCATCCACAACCACAGAGTATCATCGGTCTGGATCAGTTGTTAGCAGAAGATCCAAGCAATTAGCCGTATGAGACTAATGAACATCTAAGATCCTGGTCTATATGGCTATTTAATATTTTTTTGATTTAACTTGTGTTAAGTTGTTTTTCTCCAATATACTAATTTTGGTGACGAAGTTAAATTTTGGAAAACAAACAAAATTTCATTTCCAGGCCGGTAAGATACTCTTTTTGGAATAAATTTTTAATATAATACCAACCCATAATATTTACTTAAAACACAAAATTAAAAATTGTCTTTTAAAAATTGTCTGCCTGATAATATTTATTAAAAATTTATCCGACAACACAGTGCAGTAAAGTAAGGTAATATAAGCTATCTTATTGCTCAGTACAAATTTCTCTGAAGCAACCTTACGATGGTAAATTAGAAAATGCAGCAGAGTGCAGCCGCGTAATAACGATGAATAGATCAAAGAGCGTTCGAACCTTCCGACTTCAGTTGAAGTTAAAACTTACCCCAGACACTTTTTTAGACACTTATTATTTATTTTACGTCGAAACTGCACTCACCATACGATTGAGCGCCGATGTAATTGCAGATGTAGAATTCAAATGATTTATCTGATTTACGCGAAGCCCAAGCGCCGACACAGCATGGCTTCGAGAATGCCAGCTTCCATTGACAGCTAGACGATGTGCCCAGCGAAAGCTCAGGTCTTGATTTGACTTTGGCAGTGAGGATACTGTATGTTTAACAATCTCGATTTTTTCCTATAGAAACACAGAATTATTTTAACCACTGCAATTACCTGGTACAGTCAGGGAATTTACGTATTAGGTGTGAGTAGCAAAGCAATGACGAAATGACTACAGGATTCTACCTAGAACATTCATTATTTAGAAAATTTCATTATCCTTTTTGGTGAGACTGAGAGTCGAATCCGGGATCTCATCCAGCACTCACCCTGTGGCCCCGGGTCAACGAGGTCGTCAATTATGCTAGTAGAACAGTTTCCCCAAGGTTTAAGCAATTATTTCAATTTAATAATAATAAATTTAATAGTAGTAGAGCTCCTTGTGAAAGATTCATTCAGAGACGTACTGCCAACTTATCTATTTCTGTCGCCAATGTAAGCATTACTGCGTTGCAGTATTCAAGGGTAAGGGTGCTGGTGAAATTACAGGCACATGGGACTTGCCAACTTATGTCTCAGGGTGACAGGCGCAGTGGCAGTGCCCTTGAGATATTTGCGGTTTAAAGCTCTGCGTGGCACTGCCACTGTTATGTACCTACAGGCGTCTTACTTAACCCCAAGAGGAAGACTTGTTTTTCCTGTCACATGATATTATATAAAAAATCATTTATTTATCTCAATAGGTATATCAATAAATGCGTAAAAGTTACTTTGCACAAAGAGTTTAGTAGCAGGCATTGACTTACAATTATATGGACGTCGGGTCCGCGCTAAAAAGTGTCCGCACTTGTAAGGCGCTAAAATCGTATACAGAGCGCGACACTCCGCTTTAGTCTTCATTTGTTCTACGGACAGCGCGATACTGCGATGACATAACAATTTAAATTTCGAATAGGTTGACTTGAGACATTTTTTTCGTGGTTTTTGTATTAGACCCGTCGTCCATTTATTTGTAAGTCAATGGTAGCAGGCAATAATGGTGGGAGATGAAAAGATCTGCATAATGGCAGAGTGTTTCTCACCCTGTCATGTTCAAAAAAAGAAGACGCAGGTAAGATTAGTTATTTTTTTAATTTTTGATTCACACCTTTTCAATATTGTTTTTTAATTTTCGAAAAATTTTGTAACGATTGTAGCCTTAGCGAATCGCAGCAGTCGCTACAAATCTCTTTTGTATATATTTTATACTCTCTTTAAGTTTTAGTTTTATATTTAAATTCTAAATTTAAACGTGATTGTTGTTGGCGCCTTTCCTCGACTTTGGTTTGCTGTTTTGCTTTGATAGCTACGTGGTGTTTTCTAATAAATTATTATTAAAAGCTGTAAGTACAATTGTTTGTCCTTGCTCGCTCGTTGGTAGCACCCACCCTTTAAGTCATTGATACAATCCGCTATAACTATCATATAATCGTATTCATATTTTTTATTTTTAAAACAATAATACATTTACAGGCGTCCCGCTCTAAGGACAACAATAATGGTCGCGTTAGGTATACCCGATGAAGCATATAAAATTAAAAAACAAATGTACAAATAAATAATGATTTATTACCTGATCAGAAACTGAGAGTCCTAGAGTTTTCTCAATCTCAACTTTACTTATTTTATCCACTTCCACTGACAGAGCAACAAGAATGATGTATAAAAAGAAACCAGACTGTACAAAGCTTATACCATTTTCCTGTCGCTCTACCGGACTGATGGACCTCAGTTTCGCAAATGTCGTCTGAAAATTTGTCCAGTTATATGAAAAATAATTACTAATAACAAAAAAGACAAAGTAGAAAATAGCAGAATAAAACTTTACTCAAAATGTACATTTTGTACACGGAGTATTTTGTTTGCATGGGAACGTACCAGATTTGCATATTGCTGGGACAACTTTAGCGTGTTAAACGGCGTACAATAGTTTTTTCTAGAATGCATTATTAGATTTTATAAATATGGTATATACACATTTTTGTTGGTGTTATAATTGTAAATTCATATTGTCCCTGGGTAAGTGATAGTATAACTCAGGGTTTCTTGATCTTTTTCTAGTCATGGACCCCTCTCAAAATTTCAAAAAGTCCACTGACCAAAAGGTAAAGAAGAAGAAAGGCTGGCGAGTTGCATTGACACGTGTCTCGCTCGCTCCAATAACGGATGGCCGAATAGGGCGCGAAAATCAAAAACATCACGCGCACTGTATCTCTTTACTGACAACATATTGTATACCGCGCATCATGTGAGGTAGGCTCATCATGAACCCCCAGCGTACATTACACGGACACTTTAGGGGTCCATGGACCACAGGTTAAGAAACTGTGGTATAACTGGTTCGAAGGGAACATGTCTTCAATTTTTAAACTCCGACGCGAAAAGAGTCAAGTTATAAGTATGAAGTCTTTGTGTGTCTGTCTGTGACATTGTAACTACCAAACGGCTAGACAGATCTTGAAGCGGATTTTTTTTATATTTCAAAGCTGGTTTAATCGGAATTGTGTTTGTTGAACATCGGTTCAGTGTTTAGAGATTTTTTCCCAGTACACTAAGGTATCTTAATGATAAAATGAATAGATAGATGCTTATTTATTTTACTTATCCTTTTGACGCTATGTTTGGTGAACACATCAGTCCAGCTTTTTAGAGCTCTTTTCCCAGTTGGTACACCGGTAGTAGGGTAGGGATTTGAGTCATTTAATTAATATTTACTATACTCGTTCTTTCGACTTTTCCGATCGATTTCAAATTTGGTATACCAAGACAATCTGCAGACTACCCAACTGCTCAACTACTTACTACTAGAACTTATTACTTAGAACTAGAACGTGTTTGGGTTAAATAAATGGCATTGAGACAAACCCAAGTGGGGTTTAACGGTGCTTTACAATATTTATGTGTACTTTTTTCTTAAAACAATAAAAAAAAATATCTCCACGAGTTGTCAGTTTGCAGTTGGTGACTTTTCGAAGTTTTTTTGGAGTACACTGTTTTATATCTGGGTTTTTTAAATCTAATATTAGTTTTTATGTCATAAACTCCGACGTGCACGCATTTTATTTATTAATTGTCACGCATTTAATTTTATTGAACCCAATCAATATGAACAGATTTCTAACCTACTTCAAACTGTATTGTACTTGTTATAAGAATTGTTATTTACTATATTATACACATTTGAGAATCATGTTCAACGTTGATTTAAACAAACTGTGAACGCACTAATCATGATGAACTAGATTAGTTGAGTACATAATAATATAATAAAATAGTAGACGCTGAGTCTGTATTCCAAATACACACATCAAAAGTGTCTAGGGATCAAGTACGTTTAAGAGTATTGCTGCAATTAGGGTTAATTATATTAACTTTTTTGTATCGCTATTGATACTTTTTAGTGAGTTTTAACATTTAAATAAGGAATATTGTTTAAAATTCGATAATAAGAAGAAAATCGATTGTCAATGTGGTTTTGTATAAAAATGAGTTATAGCGTTTTGACAAAATCATTACAATATCTGCATCGGAACCGAAACAATTTACATTATTATGGAGAGACGACATCATTTAACCCGAGAAGTGATGATGCGAGCCGTCGGAATGTTGGAAGCTGGTTCCAGGCAACGTGCTGTGGCTTTCACTCTTAACACTACACAGAGCGTCATAAGTCGCCTATGGACGCGCTATCGCATGACGGGCAGCGTGGCCGAGCGACATGGAGGACGATCTTGCATCACGACTCGCAGACAGGACCGGTATATCCAAAATACTGCTCGACGGAATCGTACCATGACCGCCATGATGTTGGTTACGAGGCTCCACAGCTCCTCAGGCTTGCTAATAAGCGATCAAACAAACCGAAATCGTTTACGTGAAGTGGGTCTGCGATCCCGAAGGCCGCTCAGAGTTCCACCTATTGCACCCTGCAATCGCAGGGCCCGTTTACGATGGGCTCGCGAACACAGAAACTGGGAGGAAGAAGACTGGCGCTATGTGTGCTTTTCGGATGAATCCCGCTTCGGTATGAGACCGGATACAAGACGTACTCGAGTTTGGAGAACATCTGGACGTCATGAACGTTTGAGATATTGTCAGGAAGTTCATCCATATGGTGGGGGAACAATAATGATATGGGCCGGTATTTGGATCGGCGGAAGAACCGATCTCATTTGGATCAGGGGTAACCTCAATGCTCAAGTTTACGCAGAGAGGATTGTTTCAGATGTTATCATCCCTTTGCGAGGCCAGTTGGGTGATTCATTTCAACTAATGCATGACAACGCACGTCCACACACGGCTAGAGTCGTAACACGCATTCTTGCCGAAGCTCGTATCAACGTTCTGCCGTGGCCTGCTCAATCGCCAGACCTCAATCCAATTGAGCACGCATGGGATATGCTTCAAAGAAGAGCTGTGCCGAGTATGCATACCGTACATACTCTACAACAATATTTTGACTTGTTACAAAACACATGGGCGGCCATTCCTCAAAGTGATTTTGATGAACTCATTTTAAGCATGCCAAATCGCTGTAATTGTGTGATTCGTGTTAATGGTGGAAATACAGATTATTAATTTTCTTATCTTTACAATAAAAATGAGCAAAATCATCATTTTCGCCATTTTTTTGTCATTTAATTGACGCCGTTAATTTGAGTTTTTTCCCACAATTTGCAAAAACATCAATTTTAGTTTATTTTAATTAAATATAGGGGTAAGCGATTAAATAAAACATAAGCATTAAAGTAAGAAGTCGTCCTGGAAGACTGGATTTGGTAAATATTGCTTAAATAATTTTTATTTCAAAAATATTCACTTGATCCCTAGACACTTTTGATGTGTGTATTTTAAACTTTAAAATATTACGAATTACAAAATTAAACTTTAAAATTAATAGTCAATATTACCTACTGAAGACACTACTAAGCCATAAACATCTGGTTTTAAATATTTTGTCTGTCAGTTTATGCGTTTGTACATGCTAATGAAATGTGTTTAGTTTAAAATGGTTAACAAACAGAAAAGATTGGCAATTTTAAAATTCGTCTGGCGCATGCTCGAAGCGCCGCGTGTATAATGCCAAACGACGTGAGTACGCTGACCATACGTTTGGATATACAGATAATTGTAGAGCTCCTTGTGAAGAGGTCGTCCAGTGAAGTACGGCAGTACTGTAATAGGTAAGGTGGCAACCCTACCCATTTCCGCCGCCAAGCAGTAATGCTCACATTACTGTGTTCCGGTTTTGAAGGACAAAGTTGTTGGTGACATTACAGGTACATGGGATTTGTTAACTTTACAACAAAGAAATACATAGTTTGTACGAAAAATATTAGTCATCTACTTACATATATCATATATCTATAAAAAAGTCAGCGAAATGAGCCTTTTTGAAGCTATCATAAAGGTTTTAGAATAAAAATATTTTGAAAATTATACAGATATCTTTTTGTGTAGATACTTAATGGGCATATCAAGTGGGCCTTAGAATAATAACGCATAGAAACCTAGTCCGCACACGCTAAGTGAGGCAAATTGAAGCGCTCCCAATGGGCCTACACGAGCGGGCGGGCCTTCAGTGCTCAAGGTGCAAGTTGCACCGCGAACAGCTCAAGAATTTTAGCTAAAAATGACGAAATGTGCGGTAAATGAGTGTAAAAATACGTGAGACAAACATAAAATAGATGCTAACATCACATCCCACAAGGAAGTAACGCGTTTCAACTTGTATTTTTATATAAATATTCACTAAAACCGAAAATTAACCTACTACTAAAACTAGCCTACATGCATTTGATTTTTGCCTCTCTTGTGACAGTTCGTTTGATATGAAATTATCATTCTATGCGTTCTATGCGTTATTATTCTAAGATGTGGGCAATTTAATGAAAATAAAATATTTCCGTTGCAGCATGATCGATATTTTTTTTCTATTTTCACTTATTTATTTTTGGTAGGCAAAGGTTTGCCCATACAGCCTCTTCATAAAAATTCTATCTTTCTTTGATTTAATGGGAAAGGCGACAAGCGCCTGTTCTGTAGTTTAATTCTTTCAGTTTATTTCATATATCTTAGACGTTAGATGCTATGTAATTGTATAGGACAGGATAAGCTTCTATGTTTTTCGATAGGTCTTCTGTTGAGCGCGGAATATCCTCAGGTTTGCTATATATTTCCAGCAGGAATTCACAGAGTTGCTACTGACAAGAGACTATTCTTAAACACTGAAATACTGACAGATTGTTCCAGAGCATTGTACAGAATACATTCAGCAGAATTATGGATCTTTTTTTTAATAATATATATATTATTTTAAGTGACGGGACGAAAAAGTCTTGCGCCTGATGTTAAGTTACACGCCTGTCCATAAAAGTTACAGTGCCACTACTTCCCTTGTAAGTGCCTTGTAAGGTGGCAGTACTTCCCTGGACGAACACTTTCACAAGGAGCTCAACTGGTACTAAAGTAACTCTACTGCTATGATCTACAAGAGTTACTTTTTCATTTAATAGTAAGACACGTAGATGATATGTTTGCGCGATGGAATCGCAGGCACAGCTTAGTAGGTAATAAATACATGTTATAGAAATAGATTTATATGTTTTCAATATAGATTTTCACGATTGGCATGTATAAACATTTATGACTCAAGCGGTTGCGAACGAGTGTAATCGCTCGAGGGCGTTTTCAAGGACATAATCTTTCAGTGTCCTGTCACATATCGATATGACGTACGTGTACGTG